TAGGCTGTTGCTGCTGCATAAATTCAGAAGGGCATGGAATTCTGTTTGAATGTGTTGCTATAGCAGAGAATTCTTGTTGTTGTCCTTGTGAATATGAAAGAATGAGTTGTTCCCCCATTCTTGATTGTAGGCGTTTGAATATGGATTGGTCATGTTATAGCTTCCTACAAAACAAACAGATTGAGGGTTTTTTGGACAGTTATAAACATGAGGACCATTACAGAAAACACATGATATAGCATTGGTTATGGTATGCACTTGTTGTGCTCTAGCATCAGCAGACAGGTTAAGTGACTTGATTGTATCTTTCAAAGATGAAATGTGTTCTGCCAATACTAATACATCATCATGCTCCAGCACTCCAGCAGCCTTCTTTGGTGTATTCATTATTTTCGTTGGCCACTGGTAGTTGCTAAATGCCATCCTCTCTAGGATTTCATATGCTTCAGTGAATGTCCTAGCTAAGAGAGCTCTTCCGGTTGATGCATCAACTACACCCCTTGTTTGATTATTAAGACCATTGTAAAAAGTCTCCATTTGTATCCATTCTGGTATACCATGATTAGGGCATTTCTGCAGCAATTCCTTGAATCTGTCCCATGCTTTATAAGGTGTCTCACCAACATATTGCTGGAACGCTGCTATATCATTCCTTAAGAGAATTGCTTTTGTGTGAGGAAAGAATTTCATCAAGAACTTTTCAGCCATGTCTTCCCATCTACGAATGGAATTAGGTTGTAGTGTGTTCAACCATGCCTTAGCTTTATTAGTGAGAGAAAAGGGAAATAGCTTCATCTTTAATGCATCCGATGTAACTCCTTGTATCTTAAAGCTATATGCTATCTCCATGAAATTTTTGATATGAAGAAGTGGATCTTCACTAGGCATCCCATTGAATAGGCCAATTGTTTCCAGCATATCAAACATGATTGGTTTCAATTCAAAATTTGCTGCTGCAATTTCTGGTTGAACAATTGGAAAACGGAAGTTCTTGAGTGCTAGGATTCTTTGTGCGCTGATTGAGATCTCAGAATGAATTGGCTCTTCATTTCTAACTCTTGCTCCTGCCATTCTTACTGCCATATCAGGTAATGTTGTAGCGTTGCTACGTCTTTGCCGTCCTTTCAATCTCAGGATTAAGAGGTACTTCTTGCTTGGTTGGAGAACTGCTCAAACGCTGCAATTAACACTTGAAAACAGAAAAGAAGAAAGGTGAAAGAAAAGAAATAGAAAAGAAAAGAAAAGATAGAAAGAAGAGAGAATTTCTTCACTTAAATAAAAAGCTTTAAAGAAATCATCCCCGACAACGGCGCCAAAAACTTGTCGTGCAATTTGCAATCAATTAAATCAATGACACAAATACGCAAGTGCACGTGTCACAAGTAATAAAGGGATGTGTGAGTCCAAGTATCGTTCGCACGGAGATGATTTATAAAGCAATAATTATTTAAGTACAGAAATTATAAAAAGATTGATTTTTATGGTGGGGTTTATAAAATAAAAGACAATTAAAAATAAGAAAACAGTAAACTAAATTCAAGGTATTAAGATGATGGATGAGATATAGGGTCAGATTCAATTTTCCTGATACAGCAATACTGGAACGATGCTTTAACGATGCTATATCAATGCTTAATTAGTAACCGAACACTAAAGTATGTTGGGGCTTTTGGCCAACCTAACATATATACCCAATAAGTAATTCCCACATCTCTATGGCCAAACTAATCACTGAATTGTTCAAGTTCAAGTTCTAGGCTAGGCTATGTGGTGTGAATGATCTCTCTACCCACAACTTATTCAAGTTAACTTTCTTAACCTAATTAATCCACACAATTCAACAAGGGTATGGATTCGGAAACCTCTCGGCCCCAACCTCCTCAATATCATATATGTATCTCTCGACATGCACACATGAATAAGATTAAGCAAACTCGTTGAATAATTAATTAAACATTAATAAAAACAAAGTTTAGGCATACATCTCAATGTTACAGCATAGGTACTTTATCTTCTAACCTATAGAGCAATTTAGCTCATAATGGAATTAAATAAAACAGAGAAAAGAAAGAAAGAACTCATTGGAAAACAGAAAAGAAGATGAAAACGAATGCTGTAGGAAAACGTCGTCACTACTTTGCTCCAGCACTGCTCCAGCAGCTCTTCTTCCTCCAAGAACCTTACTTTCTCTCTCTAAAATGTGGGAGGGGTACTACGTTCTTCCCCTCCCTTCTTTCTTGCCTTTCTGACCTTTCTCTCGCTTTGTTCCGAACTGTTGTTTAACTCGTGGGGGAGCTCTTCTTAAATAGGAAAAATGGTTGGGCAACTGGGCTTTTGGGTTAAGAGTTATAATTCATGAATCTTGTTGCTGCAGCCTTGTCGTATCCCTAGATTCTTGGGCTGTTGGCACTTGTTGGATAAAATCTTGATTTTCTTGGAATCCTTATGCCAATGTTGTTGTTGAACGAATAAGAGCTGAGTTTGTTGTCCTTGATCCTTGGGATTTTTGGATTTGTTGGTACTTAATTGGATAAGATCTTTATCTTCTTGGATTTCTTGTGCCAATGTTGTTGATCGAATCAAGGTTGTTGTCCTTGTTCTTTGGGATTTGGATAAAATTCAATCTTTGAATTTGTCTTTGACCCTTGTGGTTTCTGATTTAAATCTTCAGAAACTTCTCTTGCTTGCTGGTGTATTGTTGGAGAATAACTAACTTTTGAAATTCAAAAGTTCGGTTGTCCCTTTGTCCATGCTGTCATGCTGTAGCGCTTGCTATATCATTACTTCGTCAACTTCTCTGCTACAGCATTCTGACGTCAACTTTTCATGCAAAGACAAACACTCAACAAATCATCTTTTCTTATACAAAATCAAGGAATAATATCTCATTTACCATACTTAGTCATCTCAAAGCACTTAATCATGAATATGCAACATTTAGCTCAATTATCATGCAAAGAGGTCAACTTATATGGAATTTATGCAACAAATTCATCATAAAAATACTAAATTAACTCTCATTTGGGAGAGTTATCAATACCATAGAGGAACTACAAGCGCGATCAGAAAAATTCATCAATCTCGAGGATTATAAACGGTCGCGGGATACTTCTAACATTAAGACGGAGGTAGACAATTTTGAGAGGGATGTGCAAAAGAATTATCAAAGAAAATTCCGCGTAAAGAGAAAGTGGGAGAGGTTTGACAATTATACTCCCTTGAACACTTCCCGAAGACGGATTTTGAAGGAAGTCTTCCAAACGGGGTACATACGCGTTAACAAACCTCCACCATTGAAAAAAGGAGGGCAGCGCAATGAGACCAAATTTTGCGAGTTTCATAATGGTACTGGGCATACCACTGATGAATGTTTTGATTTGAAAAATACAATTGAAACACTTATCAAAGCTGGAAAGCTCCCAGAATTTATTTCTAGTTGCAGGGAGTATAAGGCGCAAAGAAGACGCGATAGAAGTCCTGATCGCGACTAAAATCCTAACCGACAGAGGGCATATCCTAGGAGAGATTATAATACCGCCCGAAATAATGATCGTAGGAACGCGCGTGACGATCCTACTGATAGACACCAAGGAAATCCACCACGGAATAGACAACATGTCGCACAACAGCAACAACACCAATTGCCCAATAACGCGGCGAGAGTATTAGCTACTATTGCTGGAGGAATTGCAGGAGGAGGCACGACCAGTTCACAACGCGAAAAGCATCTGAAGTCCGTGATGACAGTTTGCGACTATGCACAACCCTCCACATCCCATTTCAAATGTAAGGCCATAAGCTTTGATGATGATGACTATGGCGACATCATTCCTAACCATGACGACCCACTAGTGATCTCCGCCTGCATGGCTAATCTCCAGGTAAAACGTATTATGATTGATAACGACAGTTCTGCCGACATTATTTTCTGGGATGCTTTTCGCGCAATACACATCCCAGAAGAGCATCTAATCCCTGGATGTTCGGATTTAGTTGGTTTCTCTGGAGAGTTCGTGCAACCTAAAGGTACCATTGAAATATGGGTAACTTTTGGAATCATGCCTCTGGCATGTACTATTAAAGTAGGTTTTTACGTCATTGAATATGCATCAGCCTATAATGTTATCTTAGGAAGACCAACCATTGTCTCTTTAAAGGCAATCATTTCTATGCCTCATCTTTTGATGAAATTCCGTGATTCTTTTGGCGTTGTCGTTGCCATTAGAGGTGATCAAAAAATAGCGCGCAACTGTTACAACACTATCTTGTGAGCCAAGACTACAGTCCAGCGCGATGGCAAAGGAAAGACATCAATATGACATATTTGTATATACGTGAAGATTTACGCGATACAAGACCCCAACCAGATGGGGAATTAGAGGATCTCCAACTGGGTCCGTTACTTGAAAACGTTACCAATATTGAACGACATCTCCCAGAGATGGAAAAGATAGAATTGGTGGCAATATTACTAAAAAATAAAGACCTTTTTTCTTGGACAACAGCTGATATGCCAGGAATAGACCTTGATGTAATATGCCACCATTTGACCCTTGATCCAAAAGCCAAACCTATCGCACAAAAGAAGCGCAAAATATCCCCAGAAAAATAACAAGTGGTTGAGACCGAAGTCACAAAGCTGCTGGATGCAGGAGTTATAAGAGAAATCACTTATTCTATCTGGCTTTCTAACGTCGTGTTAGTCAAAAAAGCCAATGGGAAGTGACGAATGTGTACCGATTACACAGACCTTAATAAGCATTGTCCAAAGGATTTTTATCCTCTTCCCACTATTAACAAATTAGTAGATAATTCTGCGGGGTATCGAATTCTTTCCTTTATGGATGCGTACTCAGGATACAACCAGATACCCATGTTTAAACAAGACTAGGAAGCCACAACCTTTATTACTTAAAAGGCTACTTATTGTTATAATATGATGCCATTCGGCTTTAAAAACACTGGTGTCACATACCAACGAATGATGAACAAAGTCTTCAGCCAGTAGATTGGCCAGATGCTCGAAGTATACATTGATGACATGATCGTCAAAATAATGACTACCTCACAACACCCTCAAGATTTAGAGCAAGTGTTTTAACAATTGCGAAAATTTAGATTGCGGCTTTGATAAACCCTTGGTTCATCAGGTTTTTAAGCATGAATTAATATCAATTTGTGTGATTAAATGGATGAAAAGAGGGTTAATGTCCTAGAAAGTTCTAAATACAAGTTCTGAAGCTTATGTTGAAAATTTACATTGTTCTTGTAGGAAAATGAAGCTGAAGAAGCAATAGAGAGAAAGAAGAAGATTCTGGAGAAAGGGAGAATGCTTAAGTGTTGAGCGCTAAAATGTCCACACAGACCGTTTTAGCGCGCTGCTACAATTTGAAGGCAAAAGTTGCTAGTGCCGAGCGCTAAAACGTCCAACACAGAACGTTTTAGCGCGCTGCTGAAAACTAAGGACGAAAGTTGCTGGTCTTGGGCGCTAAAACTCCCTGACCAAACGTTTTAGCGCCCTGCTGCTGCAAAAAGACTCTGGTCTCGAACGCTAAAATGTCCAAGCCAAGTGTTTTAGCGTTGGAGTTGTTTGGAAGAAGTTGAGCATTCACCAGACATGGACGCTAAAATTTTCAACAGCTCACGTTTTAGCGCCCAAGTTAGTTGAAAGCAGTTGGACATCCGTCAAACATGGACGCTAAAACGTCCATATAGAATGTTTTAGCGCCCATGTTAGTTTTCAGTTGTAATTTGTAACACTATAAAAGGCAAGGGCCTTCACATTTCTGAGGGGATCCATCACATCTCTCTCTCATATATCAGATCCTCTGATCTGACTTCTCTTTCTTACTTTCAAAATTCTTAGGAGTAGTGTTGTATTAGTTAGTGTTTCATATATAATTGCACTTGAAGATTGAAGACTTACTATTATGACAATGGAGTTTGATCTTTCTTCTTTCTTTGTTTGTATTTCAATTATGTCTGAGTAGAGTCCTTTGTAGTCTGATTCAATGGAACCAAGTTTGAATTTATGAATGGTTAATTATATGTTTTGTTTATCTATTATGTGATTGTATGAAGTTGTCTTGATTAATTCTTCATGTTGATAAATAGTGTAGAACATACATGTTTACACTATTTTTCTATTTTTGACAACTTCATCATTAGTGTTCTAGTAGTCAAGACATTGATGCTAGGATTCTGATGTGGTCTAAGACCTTAGTGATTAATGCATGTATTAAGAAAGGAATCACCAAGACATTGGGGTTTCTGATTAATGTATCTATCAGGGTAGTAAGACATTACATCTTGAGATGATAAGAAAAAAGTTTATCAACATCACATAGTAGATAATTCATAATGGAAATTGGTTCTTCCATAAATTCATGCTTGAGGGAAATTGACATCTGACTACTTGTTAAGTTATATTCACATTTTATTTGTTTATCAATTCTTTAATTTTATGCAATTTCAATTTCGGGTGACAAGAAATCAATGCAATTCAGATTTTTTTGGTTGATTCAACTTAGTAACATTTGGTTAGTTAGTGCTTGACAGAAATCTTCGTGGGAACGATCTTTACTTATCATCTTATTACTTGTTTGACTAGTGCACTTGCTAAATCAACAACCGCCGTTGCTGGGGATTTGTGTTTCAACATTGACAGATACCATTGGTTATTAAGATTGAATCTTTTATTTTTTCAGCACTTTATATTTTTTGTATGAATTTTTGTTCTCTTGTAATTCTGGTGTATGCGAGGTACTATTGATCAAAACTCTTTGTTGTTTGACCCAGAATTAGAAAGGACAATCAGAAGGAACAGGAGGGCAGCCAGAAGAAGGCAATTACAGGAAAAGGGTGAACCAAGTGGTGAACCAAGTATTACAGTACAGGAAGAGATTATGGCAGAAAATCATGTGCAACCACCACAGAGGACACTGGGAGATTACATGACTCCTGCTGTCATTCCACCCATTGGAAGTGTGGTTCGACCTACAATAGAGCCCAATAATTTCGAATTGAAGCCTGCATTAGTACAGTTGGTGCAAAAAGAACATTTTGCTGGAACAAGTGCAGAGGATCCATACCTGCATATTGAGAACTTTTTGCTGTTAAGTTACACTGTGAAAATCAATGGAGTGACCAGAGATGCCATTCTGTTGAGGCTCTTTACTCATTCACTGAAGGATGATGCCAGGAGATGGCTACAGTCATTACCACAAGGGATCATTACAACTTGGGATGATCTGCAAACCAAGTTCTTGGCCAGATTCTTTTCAGCATCCAAGAGGGCAAAGTTGAAAGATGAGATCAGAGGATTCAAGAAAAAAGGAGTTAGAGTCTATCTATGAGGCCTGGGAGAGGTTCAAGACACTCTTGAGAAACTGTCCACAACATGGAATAGAAGTGTGGAATCAAGCAACAATATTCCTCCAAGGGTTGACAACCAACACCAGGACATTGGTGAATGCCACTGTAGGTGGTTCATTGAAAACCAAGACCCCTCAGGAAGCCCTTGACATCTTTGAGTCTCTAGCATCTCAGGAGTTTGACAATGCTCTGGTGAGTGACAGAAGGACAGGAATTATTAAACTTGATGGCTATGATGCTTTATTAGCCAGGAATGACCAGTTGCAGCAAGTTCAGAAACAACAACAACAACTTGATACTCTCACCAAGCAGCTTTCTTCTCAGAAGGTTGCTTCTGTGGACACTAATTTTGTGTGTGCCATTTGTGAGAAAAGCCATGTTACTGATGATTGTGACTATGGAGGGTCTGCTGAACAAGCAGAAGTAAATGGAGTATGGTATGACCACAACAACCAGAGGAACCTTAACAACCAGGGGCAAAATGTCTATGTGCCACCATGGAAGAACAAGAATCAACACCCAGGGTTCAGTTACAGTTCCAACCATCAGTTGAATCCTCCACTACATCCTCCACCACCACATGCATCACAATAAGGAGATGCTTCTGTATGGGAGAAAGCTTTTTCCCAGTTATCAAAGACTACTCAAGATTACATTCAGGGGTCAAATTCTTTCAGGGAAGAAACTTCTGCTTTCATGCAAGAGACCAAGACTAAATTCAGAAACCAGGAAGCATCTATCCGGAATTTGGAAACACAAATTGGCCAGTTGTCTAGACAGATAGCTGAGAGGCCACAAGGCAAGTTCCCTGGTGATACTATGGTGAATCCAAAGGAGCATTGCAACTCCATAATAACAAGAAGTGGGCTTGTGCTTCAACCGGTGAACAAGAAAGTGGATGAGAAGAAAGTGGAAGAAAAGAAAAGTGAGGAGGAAGTTGTTGTTGAGGATGTTGTAGTCGAAATAATGATAAAAAAGAGAAAGTTGAGGAAAAGAAGAAAGAAGAAGAGGTAGTGGTTGACAAGAGTTCTTCACCCCAGAAGTTGATGAAGTGGGAGAAGAAGAAGATGGCTGACAAGCAGGACCAGCCAATCAACCTATCTCCATATGCTAAAGTGCCTTACCCTCAACGGTTGAAGCAGGAAATCCAGAAGCAGCACTATGCAAGGTTTCTGGATATTTTCAAGAAGTTACAGATTAACATTCCATTTGCTGAGGCCTTGGAGAATATGCCTCACTATGCCAAATCATGAAAGATCTTCTGTTTAAGAAGAGGAAATTGAAGGATGGTGAGACGGTGGCCTTAATAGAAGAGTGTAGTGCCCTGATCCAGAAGAAGCTTCCACCAAAATTAAAAGATCCAGGAAGTTTCAGCATCCCTATTGCCATTGGAGATGTGGAAGTAGGGAAGACATTCTGTGATTTGGGGGCCAACATTAACTTGATGCCATTGACTGTATGTAGAGCTTTGGGAATCAACACCTTGAAGGATACCAATCTTATTATGCATCTTGCAGACAGATCCATCAAGAGACCGGAAGGTGTGGTTGAAGATGTTCTGGTTAAGGTGGATAAGTTCATTTTTCCAGTGGACTTTGTGATTCTAGATATGGAGGAAGAAGATACTGAAAGCCCTCTACTTCTAGGGAGGCCATTCTTAGCAACTGCTAGATCCCTGATTGATGTTGAACAAGGGAAGCTAATGCTAAGGGTGAATGAAGAGACATTTACAATTGATGTGTTTGAAGCCATTAAACATCCTGTTGATGTGGAGGATTGTTTCAGGATAGATATCATACAGGAGGTTGTGGAGGAAGTGAAAGGA